GAATATGAATAGTGCATAATAACTAATCATTGATGACTCAGAGTATTCCTTTCTATGGCATTAGCATGGTTAAGTAGAATATTAGAGGAATAATTCCTAAGTCATTCTTAATTACAAGTCAAAGATTACTTTGATTAGTGCAATTATACCTAGTAATCATGGCTAAGATCAACTTCATATCTATAGATAAGAGATATTACTAAGGAAGATTAAGAACAGAGCTTGTCTTCCTTCGTAACTAGATCCTACTTGTAGACCTATATTCGAGGAGTAGACTACAAAGGACTCAATGGGAGTGCCACATCCATGATCTACCACATGGCCTAGAATATAGGGTATATCCATAGGTAAACAACGTATAAGCACCATGCTTACACAATGTCAACCACTTACCCCATGTACTTTGGAGCAAGCGCTATACGAACTTATGTATAAACATGATGATAATATAAGTATACTAAGCAAATAATCAAAGTAGACGATGAACATTATAACTAGGAATATGATAAATATGAAGATTAATGTCATGACAATTGTAGCAAACATATAAAAGTAATGAGAGATACAAAGAGAGGGGGTACAAAGATTATACCGAACCACGCTCTTGACACGATCGGGAATCCAAGTGAAGCTTGCTTGCCTCCCTCTAGACCTAGCCGAACTAGCTATGCCCTAGAATATGGTGGAGCTCTAAGGATATTAGGGTTTCTATCTTCTCAAATAACTTATGCCTCAGGGGGTGCTGGTATATATTTGCCGAAGCATCAATCCTTTGCCCTTGGATCAAACTAACTTGAATAAACAGCGTAGATGCAATCTAGGAGGTGGTGGAGAACCAACATAACAACGGGGGGTTGATATGTGGGCCCTAGGGGCCAGCTGGCCTACAGGTGGGGCGGCACCTCGCCCTCTGCTTTGGTGTGGAGTCCTCTCGAGTCTTCTGGAACCTTTTGGGGTTGTTTTCACTATGGATAAGTATGATTAAGTCTGACATCTAGGTCCACCTTGACGGTTTTCTGGATAAACCCTGTAGAAAATACAGATTCACCAAAACTCATGGAATTTGTTAGTATAAACCCCTAGACCTTCGTTGGTGATTATATTTGTGCCCTTATGCATGTTATATTGATGGTTTATAATGGTTGTTAACTACCGTCAACACCTATCTACAAATCTTGTGCAATAGACGGTGCCGGGCCTCTGCCCCTTGTATTGTTTCCAATGTGTCAAAATTAGTACTTCATACCTGACTACTACACGTGCCTCTGAGGCAAACTTGGTAGCTTTCACTGGATCATGTGGCCTTCTATTCCCCTCGGCAATAGAGATGAGAATCCTCTATCCTCCTAGTGATTTGCTCATTTTGTTAAGCAAAATTCCACGAGTTCGAGGCCTTGTCTTCCTCGCTCTTCCTAGCAATGGTACTACATAGTTTTCATACATTCAGATTGTTAGAAAAGTTATATGGTTATCAAATAGCTAGTGCAAATTGATTGATAGACATTTGCAAGGTAATACCAACCTTGGCAACTTTCATCGTTCTGTGGGTAGGGGGAGACGGGAGTTTGCTGAGAGGGCTCCTCTTTGGCATGGCTATTATCATTTGGCCATGAGGAGTCTCTGACAGGGCTAGGTAGGGTGCCGTCCTAACAAATGTCTCTAGTCAATTCATGACTTTGGAATTGATCCCTAGGTACGGGTGTTAGTCATGATGGAGAATTATGTTCACCTACTGCTACTACCTCCACCCTTTTGCTAGCGGTAGACCTCTGAGTACAAACTCCATGAGCAGCCTGTTCAGGTAGTGTTGACCTCACTCACTTGGAGGGCCTTCGCCTAAGACTCATGGTAGCGCTGCCTTTTGTCCTGCTGGTAGAGCCTCCTCTATGGCTTCTTTGACCCAGACACTGAAATTGGAGATACAAATTTAAGCAACAAGTATGTATAAATTCCATTGCTATCCAAACAGTAAAGCATTGCATGGCTACCTACCCCCGTCCCCCTCCGAACTAAATATAAGATAGAACAAGCACCTCAATTGATAGGGGCACTGGCTCATCTTCTAAATCTAAATCTGTTTCATCTGTATCATCAAATCCCTCAACTACCTCCCCTAGTTTAGGGATATATTCTAAATCTTCACCATATTTACCCTTTATGCTTGACTTTTTTTGCCTTTGGAGACATAGGTTTTGGGCCCACACGTATTCCAAGTTCTTCCATCATTCTATGATTCCTTGCAATTTGTGCACCCCGGTCTTGTTCATAAGCAGTTAGTGGCTCTTCATCTAGATTACAAAGGCATTTATTAACTAAAGTGTCTATGGAATGTCAACACAACAGAGCTAGAGTATGCAAATAAGCATCTAACTAGTGACTATAGCTTATATGGAAGTCATTAATCCAATAAAGCACATGTCAGCTACACTCAACTATAGGAAATATGTAACCCCATCGCTATCTATATATCCTTGGTTTAGCCACTATAGTAGAGCACACATCATAAAAGGAATTTGGGTACCTCTTTCTCCGTGTTCACTTGCTATGCTTTGTCGTTGGCACCGCCATCCTGTCATCAAGGTCACGGAGCTGGTGCGGCCGGCGTTGACCCTAGTACTAGATCTAGCTCTGTCTAGGGATTAGATCCGATTGGTCGAGATAGGTGCCGAGCTAGGTAGGGGATCCAGATCTAGCTTGTACCATCATCGAGGTGGTCCTTCCGCCGTTAGCTGATCGACTTGCTATCGACGAATCAAAGGGGATCCGGCTCTGGCTAAGGTTCATAAATGTATGAGAGAGGGTGCGGCTGGAGAGTGGAGAGGGAGTCCAGTTGCTGTTCTAATGGTGCCTAGGGTTCAAAGCGGGGTGGCAGAGGGGGCGGCTAGAGAGTGGAGAGGGAGGGTATAGGACTTGGATTTGGAGCTGGAGGAGAGACAATGCAGCTAGAGAATAGAGATGGAGGTGGAGACGACAACTCTGTGCACTTTTATGTGCACATCATATTACCACAAATACCCTTGCATGAAATCGATGGAGTGGTAAACATATTTTCTGTGTGGAGTGTAAAAGAGAGACATCTAATTTTCGGTGCGTGTTGGTGGGATAGATTGACGCGGTGTGAAATTAAATTTTTGGGCATGTAGATTGCCTCATCTAGTCAGCAGAGACCGAAATTTATTCCATGTTTTAATAGGAAATGATTATGGCAAAATGTTGTACTTACCTAATATCCATCTTTTCATTTTTTTCTCTTATGCATCTATTTATATATCCGATCAGTTAGTTATTGCCTTTTTTATTTTTTCATAATATAAATAACCATAAAACTAAAAGAGGATGATAATAAACAATTAAAAGATCTATGAATTTGACACCTAAAAATTACCAAAAAAATCAACGTGCTTGCTGTAGCTTATTGCGCTACAACTGGTGATTTTTTTTGTGTGTGTGACTGCATCTGCGACTGTTTGAACTAAGGCCTATAATTAGGAAGCAAGGGGAAGGCACGCCTAGAGATGGAAAATGTAACACCCCGGGTGTTAGTCACGAGTTAAGTAGCGAAATTAGACTTAAGTAGGATATATCAAGCAATGATTATGATCTGTAGTTCATAATCTGAAAGTAATGATGAAGGTATTGAGGTCAAACCTATGAAAATGAGCCCCAACTTGGACTCGGACAATACACTTTGCTTACATGTGGACCCTTGTTAAGATTATGCAAGAGTAATGTTAAACATGCTTATTTCATGTACATTACATCAACATGCATCCATCTTGACTAGTGGAAAAGTTTCATGAAGTTTGGAACTAAAAAGTCACGTGAAATGATAAGTTACATTTTTGCTTAAATTGCTTCATCAGGTGAATGGGAACATGGGATGTTGACCAAACCTTGCTACCTTGCCCAACTGACTCTAATTGAACTCTAAAGTCATGAAGGGTTCGTGTTGAGCAAATATCAAGAAAATGTTTCTAAGTGTGGGAATCAAAGTTCAAAAAGGCGACGCCTTAGGCGCGCCTAGGCGTGACTAATCGGGAGGCCACGGGCTTCGCTTGGCCTACGGGGGTAGGCAGACCCCTAGGCAGGCGCAGCACCTCGACACACAAGGTGGGACCTCGGTGGTGATTTGGCGGCACGTAGGCACTCTAGGCAGCGTAGAGGCGGACGCCTCGGGCGAGCGTGCAAAATTTTCCACCCCTGCGGAAGCGCGTGCGCAACTGGCTTCAGGCGCGGGAAAAGAAGCCTCACATGGGAAGTCTCTCAGACGATCGCTGCCGCTCACCCATCTTCGCCTACGACCCCTATGAGAAGCTGCTCCCAACGGCTGCGCTCCTCCCTACCGGTGCTGGGTAGGTGGATCCACAGCCGCTGCTCTTCCCCATCTAGAAGCTCCTCCCCGTGGTCCGTCCCTAAGCTCCGCCCTGCCTAGAAGTGCCTCCCTACCGGTTGCACTACTCCCCACCTAGAAGGTCCTCCCCACTGGTGTCGTCTTCCTGTTGGCGCACCCCTCCCGTAGGTGCATCCCTCCCTGACGATGTCCTCTAGTCCTCCCTAAGCGGTAGCCCCAAGGTCAGTCCCCTCCCCTGCTCACTGCTCCCCTCCCCTGCTCCTCTCCCCTGCTCTGAAGCTGAATACTCTAGATGCTTGAATGCTCTGAATGACTACTCTGAATGCCTGAATGTTAGAGAGCCTGATCTGTGCTCTAAATCTAAATGTATGCCTAGCGAACACTGAGGGAGCGAATGTCCTGTGAAGGAATTCGGATAATGTGGGATGGGAATATGGGTTTCTTGTTGATGCTAACAACAAGGACAAGGTGAAGTGCAAACTCTGTGACAAGGTGATGTAAGGAGGGATTTACAATAAATTTGATTACAACATGGTTGTTTGCTGTTTTCATCTAACAATAAATGGCTACTAACTAATAGAGGTGTTTTTCATTTATTTCAGCATCATGGTGGTGGCTATATAGAACTGAAACACCAGCTTTATAGAAGATGGCTACAAGGATCCTATCTTTGACATCAAGCTCTTCTGGTTGTGAAAGAAATTGGAGCAGGTTTGAAGGGGTTAGTACCTGTCAACCTGAAAATTACAGCAACATTACAATTAAAATGCAGACCTAAAAATGCTCTTATTTTAAATTTATAGGTACACACTAAGAAGAGAAATAGGCTTACTACAGCCCACCTGAACAAATTGGTCTATATTCAATTCAACTCTAAGCTAATTAATAAGAAAGAAAAGATCAAGTCTAAGAAGACCAGTGATGTTCTCTTGTCTAATGATACAACTAAAGCTCAAGGTTTTCTGTATGAGAATGGAGATGATTGTGCATTAGTTGTCTATAGAAATGAGGAAGATGAGATGGAAGGTACAGGGATACCTTGGTCTATTATTGGAGATGCAGTGGGAGCAGAAGAACAATTTGAACTGCGTAGAAGTGCAAGAGTGAGACAGCTTTATGAAGGAGAAGAATTTGACTCTGAAGAAGAGCAGTTTGATGAAGATGAGGATGCTTATGTGGAATCCTATTGAAGAAAAAAGATGATATGGTACTGGGGCCTTTTTATCATGTCATAGTTTATCTTTTATGATACATTCATGTATGTCTGAAACTTATGAACTATTGATGTGTGACTGTATTTTTCTTCTTTTGTGAGAACTATGTGGTCTCTGAACAAGACTTTTATTTATGAATTGTGTTGTGCACTTGTACTGCTGTCATGTCCACTTGTTTGTGCTTTAAAATTTGTAATTACTAGCTGCTGATATGGTCTGTTCATAGATGGGAGATGGCTGAAATCATTCAGATATGTGTTAACTTGCTATTTTGTATTTTTTTGATGAACTGCTTGCTGTCTATTGAGTATTTATAAGCTATCAATCCTTGCTGTAGGAACTAGGAACAAGCTGTCTATTGATTATTGAGCCTAAGCTAGTAAGCCACTAAGGTATGTCTACAACCCTCTCTTTTATATACTATATTCAGCTACTCTATGCTTCTATTTAACTAATTTATTCAGTATTTTCTGCTATATATATATATGTGTGTGTGTGTTGTGTGCTAAATTGGCAAAATGCCTAGAAAAATGCCTTGAAATGCCTAGGCTAGCCTAGGCGCTAGGCTATGGGTCAGCACCTACAAAGCGCCTAGCACCTTCTTGAACTTTGGTGGGAATAGCTAAAATTGTCTTTTTCATGATATGGTTTTGACCTGTGCTGACCAACTATTTGGAGTGCTTGCATGGAGTTGGACCTTAAATAAAAGTTGTAGTTCTGCTTAGGTAGAACAAACTTTATTTTTGGACCAAACCCTGATTCAACTCCTAAGTGGCTCAAATAGTGGCCTCAAGTTTGTATACAGTGTTGTTTTGGTCCCTCCCAAGATTTTTCCTGTCCCTGATCGATAGCAGCAAGTTGATATGTTTGTGAATTTTTATCTTCTAGAATTGTGTGACAACTCAATTGGATTCCTTAATATGAGTTGAAGCACACTTCATGAAGAAAACAACAGAATAAGTCTCATCACTTTTGGAGCATGTTTGGACTTTCAAAAGTTATTGCAAAAATAGCAAAAAGTTTCTTGAATTCAGCCCTTAACTGAATTCAGCTTTCAGTTTCATGTACCCTACTTTGGAGGCCTGTATCTTCATAGCCGAGCTGAACCAATCCATGATCCTTTAACCAAAGTTGAAGAGCATGATGTGCACAACAAACTTTGTTTAAGGGTCATCAGCTAGTTTGGTCCCTAACTTAGTCAAAATGAGGCCTCAAAACTGAACCCAGTGTTGTTTTGGATCTCAAAATTTTGGCCAAGTCTGAGATTTACAATGTTGATGATGGTTGGCATTTTGCGTTCTTGGATTTTTGTTAAACAACTCAAGTTGAGCCAAATATAAAAGTTGGAGTTTACATCTTGGAGAGGACATATAAAAGGTTGGGATCAGTTTGACCATGTTTGGACCAAGTAATTGGAGCACAAGCAGAGCGAAGCTTAGCCCTTGTTTAGTCGCTGACACTATCAACTTAGGGATTAATTAGACGCTAATGTAGAACTCTAATGGCTAGGCATCCTTAATGAGTTTTGTAGATCATCAAGTGGGCTTCAACTTTGCTTTTGGGCCCAAGGTCCAAATCGGACCATAGCTGGCCCAATTCGGCTCCCACCTTGCCCACTTCACCGCACGCCACGTGCTCGACACAATGTCGATGTGGCCACCGTGCATGGATGCCGTGTGCCCCTATCTCTGCCGGTGCTGCCACCTCGATATGGAGCGACCGAGCCCTCTCTCGGCCTCCCTCACTCGCTCTCTCCTTCCCTGGCGCTCGCCCTCGCTCTCCTTCATCCTCAGTGCCGCGCGCACGCAGAGAACGGATGCCGCCATGGCCAGCAACCAAGCTCCTTGGGCACCATCCTTGCTTGTCCTCTGAGCCTCCTCCATCCCATCTGGTCTCACCCTCAACCTCCCCGCTCTATCCTGCCTCCTCTGCGCCACCTTCCCATTCACGAAGCCACCTGCAGCTTGCTGCCGCCGGAGCGTCGGCCGTCGCCATCGCCTGCTACCATGGCAGCGCCACCTAGGGCCACCTCAGGTCGGGCCAAGGCCACCCACGGGTGCACGCCGATCCCCTGATGCTCCACCGCCACTCCTCGGTCGATGGCATGGCCTCCTTCGGCCTTAAACGGCAAGCTCCTGTGCGTCCTCTGCTCCAACTCGCATGAAGGGCCTCGCGCAGGAATTAGAGGAAAGGGAAGGGCCTATCTACACACCTGTGACTCATGTGAATAGTGCCTAGGAGGACCTTTTCATAGGAATTTATTTTTGTCAAAGTTCAGGGGCCTCGGTGCAAATGTGTTTTCCTTTATTGCTTTTATTTGGCTGAAACTTTGAAAAATCATAATAAATCATAGAAAAATCATAAAATGGAAAATGAAAAGTTTTTGGAATCCTTGATAGTAGATCTATGCAGTAGAGTCATAATATGATATGTGTTAGTAGAAAGTTTCTACTGTTTTTATTTATTCTTATAAAGTGCTTTTAAAAATCCTTTTAAGTTTGTCACATGCATATCTCGAGGTCGGAATGTCCTAAAAATGTGATTCTAGTTTTGGGAGTCTTGTTTTGGCATGTGCTGGCTAATACAAATATTAAACATGTTGTTTCATCACTATTTTTATCATGTTTTGATTTAATCATGATTAATGGTTAATTCTAGCTTACTTTGCTTGCTATCATCATAACTACTGTTGTACTACTCCAAATGACCTAAACCTTTTATGCTAGTATACTTATAGCATGTGTGAGATCTGGTTAAAATTTCAAAATTTTTGATGCTTGTATGACTGAGTTATGAATTTAACTTGATTAATGCCTGATAAATGGTTTTAAATGGTTTATAAATAATTTATATATGCAAAAATGTGAAATGTGGTTCCTTTGCCCTTGCATGGTGATATTGTGACCTACGAATTCATAATATGTCTATATGTTTAGAGAAAATGATGATCTTTAGATTTATCTTGCTTTTACATGTTTTCTTGCAATAGCAATTTGTCTTTTTCATAGTAATTAAATTATAAAACCTGAGCATGTGAAATTTGTGTAGTAGCCATGTTTTGATACCAACTACCACTCATAAAAGTCTCAGCCCAAAACTAGTTGTTCTCGTATTTCACTAAAATAATATATATGTTATTAGGAGAAAGGATTTATAAAAGCATAATGGTAGATAAAACTTGTAATTGTATTTGGTAATGCCTTGAGTGATTGGTGTTCAATAAAGTGTTGCTAAGTGTGTTAGTGGTGGTTAAAGTTCTTGAAGGCCTCATGTGTGTATGCTCTTTGTTAGCAAAACAAGTGAAACATCAAATTATTATATTCTAAAATGACTGCATGTGCATTTTCTGTTGTGATGATATTTTCGTGATGCAAATTATGTTTTCTGTAGATATGTTGAATGTGAAAGTTTTAGATAATTTCCTTATATTGCTTGTTCTAAAATTTCATGATTTTTAGCCTACTGGTTAGGAGCAATAGTTTTTATAAGTTTGTTATCAGCTTGTGCATGTGATCTAAATAGATCTGAATGATTGTATTGTTTGTATTACTTAAACATGGAATCATATATTGGTGATAATAGAAGAGTTGTATTGATTTTCCTAATCTTTCGAAAATGTCTAAGATCACTGCTTTTGGTGGTGTAGAACTCTAGTTATTGCTGTTCAAAATGAAATGGCAGATTCTATCCAAATCGAGATAGAGATGCATTCTTGGTGTTGTTTAACCTTGTTAGTTGTAGAATCATCTTAAGATGATAATAAGAAAGTTATAGATAACTTAATAATCTTTCCATAAAGTTAAGAATCATGTCTTTTGGATGATTAAAAGTCTAGTCATGCAATGCTGAGGTTACTATCAGTTTTGTGTCCTTAGTTGTATAAGCTCTACTTCATGATGTATTTTGATCTTGTTATTTGTTGAATCAGCTTTTGGTGTTAATAACAAAGTTTTAGATAATTTCATTATCTTTCTAGAAAGTCTAGAATCACCCTTATTGGATGCTTATAACTCCAGTTATGGTTGAAACAAGTGACTGCTGTGATGGTGCCCAGATTTCTGTACATGTGTGCTCTTGTTTGGCTAAACTTGTTAGTTCATGATTGATAAATGCTTGCAATAGCTGAACTTAAGTTAACGGGTATGTCATGCTCGATATACTTGCCATATCCACCTGTTGTGCTAGAATAGTGTTTAGTTAAATAACTCTAAGTGCCTAGGTCGTGCATAATCTTGTGCTTGTCTTGAACGCTTTTATGTGATGCATTCGTATTACCATTCTTCGCATTCATGCACTTGCATTGTTGTATCTCATTTAGGTACGCTAGATGAACCATGTAAGAGATAAAGGATGTGATGTTGGAGCCAAACCCAAAGATGGTGTATGGTGGACCTATCCCGAAGGTGGAAGGACTAAGCAAGTGCTAGGACCGGAGATGTCACCAGGACGGTGCGAGCTCACTAAACTGACTTGTGTCGGATCCCAGGCAAGCCCCAGAACATTCTAAGCCTCCTATGTTTTTACAAATATCAACTTGAGTCCTTTTATGTTTGATGCATTAGGTTATAAGAGTTGGTTGGAAACACTTGATGCATAGAACTACCTTGTCCATATATATACCTTTAACCCTGTGTAGGTCCAGGATTGAATATATGCTTAGCCATGCTTAGACCGGTAGAAGTCAGATAATTTCCTGTCACCTGCTAGATATAGGTGGATACCGAAGCACGGTTGGCTATATTTGCTATCGTGGAACAAAACCATAGGGTAATGTAACTGGAGGCCGGGCGAAGTCCATGTGTAGGTTGACTCATGTGAATCTGTCTGTGCCGATTAAGGACTGTACCGTTGTTGGGTGCTTTTGACAAGATTGAACACATGCCTCTCACTTAGCTGGCTGTCGGCGCAAAAACGTGCTTATGCACCTAGCACACAGCAAGCCAGAAGGATCTGCTTAGAATGAGCCCGGAGATCTG